TGGGACCCCAACAGAGCAGCAGTTAGGCACATTTCGCGCTGCATGCGGATCGCGCAAGACCCCCTGTAGGGCGGTTAACCGACCTCCAAAACCCCGGGGAAGGCTGGYGTTTCTCGACTTGTGATTTTTGACAATGCCGGCAATTCGCGCCTCCGCCTAACTGCTGCTACCCTCCAAAGATAGATTGGTTATTCAAGGTTAGGTATATATTCCTAAGATGCTTTTACAGTATGACACCTAATCACAATGGGGTACACATTCCTTCAGTCCTACCACCCCTCCCCCCCCCCCAAAAGAAAGGATTGGAATTCTAAAGGTAGTTTTACAGTATGTACCTAATCACAATGGGGTTTACATATATGAGCTACTTCATTTAATAGGTTCTCCTGCTCCTCCCCTAGTATTCTGCAATTGCTATTAATATATTTCCCACAATATACAATTATGAATATACCTTAAACATATTAGCTACTTCATTTTCTACATTCTCCCCCTCCTCCACCCTCTTCCCTCTAGTATTCTGCACCTGCTATTAATATACAGTATTTCCCACAATATACAATYATGAATATACCTGAAACATTGCCCATAGCACCAGTAGGTATGACAAATTGAACTGTCTCTCCAAGCTTCCTGCAGACTTTGAAGTAAGCATAAAAATAATAGACCACCTGTGATATGAGTCTGCCTATATTTATGGAATTGACACTTCCTAGATTGTGTTTACTAGCAAACTTTTCATCAACAAGGCATGCTTTTATAGGAACATCAAGATCATCTAATGTCCCCTCCACTGAAAAAACATAGACATTGTCATCACAAACTGTGGTCATTTGTAGTTCTTGCACCCTGTTGCAATATCCTTTGGGGAAAAGGACAATAATGTCTATCTGTTCGCATCCCCGTACACTTTCGATAGCCGCACTTCCAGTGTCTCCACTTGTTCCGACCAAAAGGGTAAGGTTTTTCTTTTGTCTTCGAAGGAAAAACTCCAGAAACTGGCTGACAAGCATCAGTGGTATGTCTTTGAATGCTTTGGTTTTGCCATGAAATAGTTCAAGGATGTTTAGACTTTCTGAAAGTTTGGTAACTGGACATGAGAAATCCTCACCATAAGCTTTGACGGCAATATCTATATCAATAATAAAGGTTGTCAAAGTAAACAAATAGTCCTTTTTCACATGTTACAGTACACTCAACAAAATTACTGAATTTTGGTTGGCGGAGAGAAGTATATATATATAGTATATTTTATCTTAGATTTATACTTATATTTAAATTTATATTTAACTTTTATATCACATTGTAATTTTTATTTGTCAATGCTTCTGAAAAGCCCTGTAAAGGGATGAAGTAATATAGTATGTATGTATGTAAGTACAATTATTAATTGTATTCCATAGTGTATAAATATTCAGACCCGGGTATTGCTAATTCATAACATGTAAATAAGGTATGGTGAATGGCTGTGGCCTGGAACAAGCCCAAACCAGAGCATGCAATGTGACATTCCAAATTCAAACCTATCTTCATTGAGGGTGGGTTGGTGTGTCATTTCACCTTCCTGACGGTGACTAAAGCCAAGTGCATTGGGACGTGACACATATTCCTTTATTGTTTATTCATTATTCCCCAGGGCATTAATTACCTATTCAAATGGACTTTGAATAGTTGTACCTATTAAGTTGCTAGTGTCATAATAATAATACAAAATAGGTAAAATTAGTAACTTAGTTTTCGTGAACTGGCTCTTGGAGTTTTTCACTACCACCAATCAAAAATGTTAGGAGCAAACTGAATATTTTGGATTGATTGCAGTAAAAAGACAAACTTTAGCATGTGTATGTGGAGCTCACAACAACAGAGTTGCCAACTAGTGCATCCTAAAAAAAAAAGGCATTACAGTGGAACCCCGTTAATAAGGACACCATTGGGACGGACAAAACTGTCCTTATTAACGGGGTGGCCCTATTAACCGAGGTGTCAGAAAAACAACTGAAAACATATTTTCAACCATTTTATTCTTACTGTACTGTAAACCTTGAACTACAATGGTCGATATAACAGCCTAAACTAGAACAAAAAATGCATTACTGTATAAGAACTACATTTGCATTTACTGCATTGTATTGTACAATTTAATTTAAAGACGTCTGTGAGATTTGTTTGTTTACTGTTTTCTTTTGACTGTACCGCACACTTGGAGCTACAATGTTCAATGCAACAGCCTAAACTGAAACAAAAAGTACATTACTGTACAAGCACAACTTCATTTCTGTACTATACTGTACTGTGCTGTATAATTTCATTCAAAAACAATCTGTTTTTTTTTTTTTTTTTTTTTTGAACAGAGTTCAAAATACTGGAATTGAACCAAACTAATTGAACATCGCTCAAAATCCTGCTAAAATCTAGCGTTGTCTATCTCATGGTGTAATAGCAAACTATACTGCAATGATCAGTGTGTCTATCGTTGATACGCAAAAACTGACAATATAATCCGTATTCAGCTATAATATCAATAATTAAATACAGTAAAGACATCTTCAAATTTCAAGTGTCCTTAATGCGGGGTTGTTTATGTATGGAAACTGTCATTCAGGTCCTAGAAATGTGTCCTTTGTACTTATTAACAGGTGTCCTTATAAAGCGGGTTAATTTAACAGAAAGTGTATGGAGCTTTCGTTGGGACTTTGAAACCTGTCCTTAATAACGAGGTGTCCTTATTAAGCTGGTGTCCTTAGAGCGGGGTTCCACTGTATCTATATTATGCAATTGTTTCGGCTTTGTCACATGATATCACCTGAAATTTCGCCTTCTGAGCAATATTGAAGTGTTCTTTTCATTTCTTGGGCTTATTTTGACACGACTAGTCATTATAATGAGGGAGTATGATCACATGAGTGCAAATTTATTTGTCTTATGACTAGTTTAAAGCAGAAATTTAAACAATCTGGCTAGGTAGAGTACAAACACTAATAGTGTGCAACACTTTGCACTATTTAGTAGTCAATAGTGCTGATTAAACAATACAAAACAAGAGGGTTAGCATCATTTAGCATTATTTAGTGGTATTTAATTGTTACACACTTATAGTGTAAATTTGCACTCCATTATGAAATACACACAGCTGGTAAATAATGTGACAAGTTTTCTCTAGTTTCTAGGCTGCATACCGCATTTAGTCTAAATTAGCAGCTTGGTAAAGCTTACAACAGACTCGTATATACATGAGTGCACAAAACAATGGCTCCAAGCTAGTAGTTCAGGATTTACTTGGTGTTTAAGAGCGGCTGTCTGTAAATATCGACTGGGGGTGTGCAACATGGAAAAATCAAAAATCCTCAAACTTTGTCAAGAAATAGGTCTAGGTGAACTATATTCACCAGGAGGGAGGAGATGACTCAAATGGTTTTCCTATTAAAATTCTGAAACAGTCATGTATGACAGTGTGACGTCACATAGCAACTAAATCTTAGCGCGACGCGTCTCCCAAAATGTCACAATAAAATTGTAATTTTAAAGGCGGGAATCTTGAAACGAAAAGCGGTCAAAACAAAGATTTAAAAGTTTATTCACCTTTAATTTAACGTAAGCATAATAATTACTCATTAACTTATCAAGTTCAATACTTTTTTTATCATATCAACGATCTAAAACTCTGAAAAGTTAAATAATTTGAGCTACTGGCCTTTCGTTTTCTCGCCATTTTTTTCCCTGCAAGAAAAGTTATCGCGTAGTTAGAAAAGTCTTTTCTCTTCTTTCCCTTCATTTTATAAACCCAAACAAGGACGTTTTACTACTAAGCCGTTGGGCTTTTAACTAAGCTAAAGTACGTTTTCCCTTGTCTTTCCATTGTGCTCATCAATCCTTTTAAGTGTCAAAATTTACTCAGTAACTCGTTTATCGTATTCGCCTTCGTAAACCAGTCGTACTTTTTGAACATTTTTTAGTCGCAAAATCAACATTTAGATGGTTTATTCTTTATC